ATGTGAAGGTACTTCCCTCAGAAAGTCGCACAATGGTCCTTCTTTGTCGGACAATGCTCATTTGAGACTAAGTAGCACTGTATGAATTGCACTTCAGCATGATCGACTGATTATCAGAAACAATCCTGATTAGCAGTGCGATTAAAATTCCTGCATAGAATATCAATTAAAATAGATGCGAACATGAGGAAATACAACGAACCTGTCTTTGGGATTGAACGGGTTGCCTGAAATTTAATTCAGTCATTTTATTATATCATCAAAAATAAAATTTCATCAAGAAATGTCCCAATTTTACCTCATTCATCCAAAAATTTTCATTCTTCGAAGCAAAATGAAGTTTTCATTGTGAGATAATCCAGAACAACAGAGAACATTTTATCTTCGTGAAAATTGAGATATTTTAGGTTCTCCAAAAAATTCTTACTGTGGTTTTTGAACAGGCGGCCGTGTACGTGCAGTAGTCGGTTGGGGTGTTGTAGTAGTGGTCGTGGTAGTTGTTGTTGTTTCGTTACGGTACGGGCGAGGGATGAAAATTGGTTCCTCTGAAAAGAAGTGCTGTTGTCTCTAAAAGGTTCTGCTCCATGAAAAATGACCGAAATTTTTATGAAATTTCCCTTTTCTGTTTCATTTGGTTCCAAATATTTCAATGTTCCATTTTCCAACTCATCTGACATGTTTTTCAATTTGATCACGACTGCGATCGGTAATGTTGACGAATTATTGATGACATACAAGTGCAACAAAAAATCATTTCGAGAGGCAATTAACGCACTTATTGCAAACGGAAGTTGTCTTTTGCAAATCATGAAGTAGTTTGGCTATAAATTCATTCATACTTTATTTGATTGGTCATAAACTCCAAAACACTTTTGATTTGATCAGTTTGCGCAGTTGAATCGCTTCATGGTGGAATGCAAATTTTAAAATTTATCGATCTTTACATTACGCGTTAAATGGGATGCATTTCAGAAAATTTTGACGAGAACACTTCCTTAAAAACTGGAACAATTCGGCGAATTGTTCAACTGCATATTGATTTATAAATGATCAACACTTTATGAGCACAATCATTCATTCCATAGAACAGGATCATAGAATCGCACAAACTATCATTCGATTCGTTTCTGGAGGATATTCATAGTTTTATTTCTGATAGGTGAATGTATTAACGCATGGTCAAACTCTGGTGATTTGAATAACATTATTTGTTAGACGCGGTTTGATCCTCGTGGTAATGTCAGTACCATATTTTCTAAGTGAAAATAGCCTCATACGATCATGAGCCGTGATAAAGAGGAAACTGGTTTGATGAAATAGGTCACCTTCTCGTAGCTCCACAAAGTTATCATCATATCCGTCCAGGTCTCCCGGACGCACACGACCTTTGTCATCCACTGAAATTATGAATATTTTCTTGATAATTACAGCTGAAGTGAATAGTGAAGTGCAGTGAAGCTGTGAAACAGTACTAGCAGTGGCACTACCAATTGTGGTAGCGAATTATGGTGAAAGTCATAAACCTTTGTGATAAGTGATAATGATGCTGATAATAAGAATGACAATGGTAGTAGTCTTGATAGTAATAAGAATAATAATATCGCAAATTTTGATCATAACAATATTAATAATGGCCATATCCGTGCGCGAAAATAAAATTTTAAACTCACGGCTGGGAAGAATGGCAATTTTATTGCCTTCTACTTCATCGATTAACGCGCGCTGAATGCCATCTCGAGGAGGTCCAAGCGCTGAATATAAATTTTATCCATTCAATTGACTCAACATCAATGCTTCAACAGTACGAAATATTTCAACTGAATTCTATCAAAAATTGCTGGATGATACGAAAATGTTATCAACCGAAAAAACCACAAAACTTCACCGTTGACATTTGATATTACCGAAAAACTGAATTGATGCTCAAACGAAATGAACTTGCATACTTACTGACTACAATCTGTTCCTCAGTTTCGACGGCATTTCCTTCGGTAGGTGCGGCAAGTGCTTTTGCACTGAAACATTCATGTATACATTCAAGAGTTAGCATTTGCTAATCCTGTCGATCAAGTTTTGCTGGAATTGACAAAAGTGTCTTAATAGACGGTAGCTGTTGGGATGTGATCTTGTTAGGTCCTGCGAAAATGAATGACTGGTTAAATTTTGTTCCATTTCGTTGGATGTTGGCCCACTGATTGGCTTTTGCATAATGGCGATTTTTCTTGGCTTTTTTTTATTTCAAGCTGATTTGGATGCTTTGGGTATCGAAAAAATTTTGCAGTTTACATTAATGTGAAAATGCGAAAACGAATTCTAAGATTTTGATCTGCGTCTGAAAAGTATCAGTTCAATTTTGTTCTTCTTCTTTGAAGCAGTGTTTGTTCAAAATGTCACTCATTTGTTCAAGCATTTCAAGCACTCATTCAGATGCATTTCATAATCGGTACTCCAAAACATTAATTTACTCATCTGTGCATGCACACCTTCATCTTAACGAGATACTCAAATGATCCGTTATGTTTCCTACATAATGTGCTCATTGAAGAACAAAATCATTCATGGCGTTGAAATTTCAAGTTGTAAACTGAATCAAATTGGTTTCAGCAGCAGAGTACAAGAAGCGTTAATGATGATGATTCCATTAAGTGGAACAGAAATTTCTCGATGATTTGTTTTAAAGCAACAAAAATTCCATCTTAAAACATAACGTCGTCATTGTTGCTGTCCTTTTTTGTCCATGAATATGTATTTAATCATTCATTTATTCATACATTTTAAAGTATTGATACGTGCAGTGAATACACATTCACTGAGAGAAAAAAAAGAAACAAATTGAGAATGTCTCCACTTTGCAAAATGATTTTTAATCTTCAGGAATACCATTATTATTTCGCGCGTGCATAGATTTAAAAAATTCCCCTTTTCAGTAGCATGCAAATGAAGGGATGATACAGCCGTTGATATGGGTGCACACCCCCAGAACTAAACAAAATAACTGGCCTGAGCAATTAATTGGACAGATGGATTGAGTGATTTAATTAATTGAGTAAAAATTAATTGATTAATATGAGATAAACACGCATGCGTTGTGCTTTGTATCAAAACTTGTTTTAGTTCGTTTTATTTGCTTCAGTGGTGTCTATGTTTCTGATCTGCTGACAAGAGCAAAAGTAACACTGAGCCGTAAAAAGTGTTTCATCTTATTTTACCGTTATCGATCAAATTAGTTTGAAATTTCATAGGAAGTCGTTTGCTCAAGTAATAAACTAGTGTAAATTATGAACTGTTGAAAATGTGGCCCAAAAATGTTTATTTTAACGGTTCCAGAAATTGGAACCTGAAACAGGAAGTGAATCTGGTTTGGTTTATATTTGGTTCGGAATGTGAGCGATTTCGGAACTGATGAAAAATTCTGTGGCTGTTTATAATGAAATCGAGGACTGAAAAAAATTTTTTACAGCTATTAATATTAGCGATCAGCTCGAAGAGTTTTCAACAATGATTGAATATAAAGCTTACAATAAATCTTTCCAGAAATAAGAAAGAATCAAAAGACAACTCACTTGTCCTCAGCCGTTACCGATTTATGTGCCAGACACAATAACAGAAGCAATAGAGATGTTGAGAACGAATTGAAACGATTCATTCTGAAAATGTCAAGTGAAATGGTGATACATGACGAATCAAACGATCGCCGCTCGTTACTTTATCACCAATGATTATTGCTTATCTTCAGTGCTATCAGTTTTATGCCTTATAATTCAGAACTATAGTTCATGCGATTATGATATTCATCACAGCAGTCTCGTATTATGTACGCTGGAGAATTGATTGCAAGCTTGAATACAACCATTTCTTGGAGAAGACGATAGCCTGGTTGCTGAAGCAACCAATAGGTTGCGGGTTCGAGTTCCACTCGACGAAGAAAGTCCTTCTCAAAACGCACGAAGTCCTCGAACACCCTCAAGGTAACTACTACCATAATCGTATGGGTTATCAGTACCATTTTATGCAATTTGGTGGATTGAAGACTCACTCAGAAGGGCATTTTGTTGGGAGGAACTTCCAAATTTCCATCACAAAGATCGCTAATAAAAATCGATTGGCATAGATCAAAATGACTTTTAGGATACAAGATAGGATATTGAAATGTCATTGGTAATGTACTGAAATGATCGAATGAATTTATTTGAAAAATAGAATCTGGATATGTTCTTCTTGCAACTTGTTGGAAATTGTTGCATGCCATTTTGCTGATTTATGTTTATGCCTTCAGTTACAAGGAATATGCATCAGATATCTCGAATAAGAAAATGTTCTTTAGTGTATGCGAAAAAAGCCAATTGTTGGTTGCTTTAAAATGGAACTGTTCAAGTGAAATAAATGGGTGTGTTTCATGCACGACTGCATCAGTGAAACGTCTGTTTGTGTTCTTGTGTCATTAAATTCACTTAATTGCAAAGTACGTTCAACGAAGAATTTCATGACGAATCGAACGAATCAAAAGTGCCTTTTCATACATTTTTTATAGCTGACAACGCATTAATCACTGTTCAAATGTCCAGTTTGACAGCAGCTATCAACCGTATACTATTAGTACCATTTGCGATCACGCTAATACAATCTCTAAAATCGTATGACTGATGTAAACCACTATATATCATGAGAAATTGAAAATGCTAAGGAAACTCATATTTTAAGATAAAACTTACATCATGAGAATAAAGTCATATCATAAAAAATTGAAAATGTTCTTCCGCGATGTTTGAAGTCACCTCCCTAGTAAAGAGACTAACGAATGACAACTGAGAAAATTAGCTTGTAAGAATTTTTCAAAAAATTGTTCCCAGTTGCGGATGATTTTGATCATTGACAGAGATCGCTCAAATCAAATTGTTTCATGATAGTTCAGGAGGTTATGAAAAATTCAGCGGCCGCAGCAGAACTAAATGTTTTTTTATGCAGAACCGGGGTTGAAAGAATCCGTACGAAACGATTCATCATATGAATGTTGAGACATAAGTCGCATCAGAACAAATAACAAGTTGTCATATTAACAAACGACGAGCTGATTCGGTTCCGTTTCTCTTCTCTTATTACTTGTTTATATGACTGGAAATAAGGATTGATAGTTTTACTTGAATTTTAATAAAAACTTATTGAATTGTATTTAGAATGGTTGCCAAAATGTAACGCGATCATCTCAAAATAACACCATCTGAACAATTGATAAGATTAAGAGGATTGAGTGCCGAATGATATCACCAAAATGAATTTGCGGTTTGAGAGATGTGCACACCGGTTGCTGAAATTGAGGAAGACACAACGGCACGATTCCCGTTTGGACAAACCCAACAATTTATTGCGTGCATCGAAAAACCCGTTTCTGAATGTGCAAGACGTGAAAATCTCTTTTAAACGGCTCAATGAAGAAGGATGATCATTTGTGTATTAATGATAACGATCATTATAACGTTGTTAAGAGGTGTTTACACATGCATATGCGTACACACAATTGTTGGATATGTAGCAATAGTGTGATTGATATCCGACCGACATTCGATCGAAAAATGCGATAAATTTCGGTGGAAATCCCAATATTTGGATTCCGACCGAACAGTTTTGAAGTTCGGTCGGAATTGCGAATGTCGGAATCTCAAAATGTGAATTCGGTCAGTGTGAACCCTAAATACTCCAAGTACTCGCCAGTGGCAAAGGGTAGGTGTTGGTAGGATACCACCGAACGATCGGTTTTGGTTGATGACTACTGACCGTTTCGCATTCGAAAGCAGCTTTTCGTATGTGCACTAAATCTTCTGCATGCAACAGCAGAAAATACACATTTTCAGGAATATGCACCAAACATACAAAATATACATCTGAAAATGCAGCAGTCAGCAACTTCTATAGGTATATTTTTGCCATATCCACTCGTATCAAGTTTAGACTCATGCTCTTTTGTTTATTCTTAAACGCACGTGGATTACAACTTCTTAAAATGGTTTTGTATCGCACTTAGGAGCGACGGTCTACTAGATTTGCTGCAAGCATCCATTCCTCGATGCCCCTCTTGATATACTGATCGTCAACAAAGTTGTTTATTTCTATTTCGATGATTAAGATCAATGAAGTTGGATGATTAATGAATGAATGAAGAATTAATTCTTCAAGAATTCTGACGCATGACTGAATCACCCGGAGACTGGTTAACCTAGCAGGAATGGTGAATGTTAGCAATTCGTGGATCTCCTTTTTTAAGCAGTGATTGCCATCATACGATCTGATTATCACTACTACAATCTGATCATGCCAAATAATAACAATATAATTACAGTAGCATTAATCGTGCACGATGCGCATGAATATATAAGGGCAATAATGACACCTCAACTGGATGAAAAATTCATATAAATGACTAACATATCGCCTCAACAAGATCAGTCCAGAACTGAATGAAGTTGAGAAATGATTTCAGAAGTAATTTTCACACTCAACATTCCTCACTAATTGCAAGTGAAAGTGAAATTTCAATTGAACATCAAACGTCGTTCGTCTATGCCTTCAGAACGACTCACTAATTGTGATCATGCAATAATTTCAATCAGTTCACTCTCACTGACAAACGATCATCATTCTTTTTGTTTGACGGAACAATTTGCAAAATAATTCAGTAATCATATTCAATTACTTTACCATCGAATTGTACACTTCCCAAGGTTATTTTATCATTAGTGGAACATGTTGTTCAATGTACGACGATGATGCAAAGATATGAAGTAACTTTTCAACTATTCAACTACTACTTCAGACCAGTCACCGTTTCAGGCGAACAATAGAGACATATTTCAAACAGCGCAATTGTTGCACTGTAAAATTAATTCAGAAACATCAACATCCTGAATGATTGTGTCGTCGTCAGTACAGTGACATAACGAATTAACTGAGAATAAGCTTAGAATAATGGCAGCATACATGTTCCAGTGGCAGGGCTATGGAAATCCCTTCGGTGATTGTCTTTTTTTTAAGATAGGAAACGGAAAAGTGGTTCAT